CCCTAACTCTTCGCCTTTCCAGTGAATGCAACTTGAGCTTTGTTAATCTTTCTTCATATGAAAGATTTCTAATTTGGGGAATTAACTTAGTCATCCTACGTTGGACACGTTCAAGTGAATTTATATCCATTCTATAATACGGCGACCAAAACTGAACTGCATAATCTAAATGGGGCCTAACCAGAGCAAGATATAGCTTAAGAACCACACCAGGTGTCTTGTTACTAACGCTTCGATTAATAAATCCCAGAGTCCTATTCGCCTTATTACGAACATTCATGCATTGATCCTTTTGTTTTAAATTCTTACTAATCATAACTCCCAGATCCCTTTCGCAATCCGACTTCGCAATCTCAACACCATCTAGCTCGTATCTTGTAACTCTATCATCATTACCTAGCCTCAGAACTTTACATTTATCAGCATTAAACTGCATTTGCCAATCATTTGACCATTTCAAAACCCTATCTAGATCAACTTGAAGTGATAGTGAGTCCTCCTCCGAATTAATTTCCTACCGATTTTCGTATCATCGGCAAATTTGCAAATGTTGCTACTCAAACCTGAATCTAAATCATTTATATATATTATAAACAACAGAGGTCCCAGGACAGAGCCCTGAGGTACTCCACTAACAACATTATCCCACTCTGAATTAACCCCATTTATACTAACTCTCTGTTTCCTTTGGAATAGCCATGCCCTAATCCAAGTTAATATATCACCCCCAATACCATGAGCTTCTATTTTTTTAATTAGTCTTTCATGTGGCACTGTATCAAAAGCTTTGCTAAAGTCAAGGTACACAACATCACAATCCTTACCACTATCAACTGCCTCAACTATGCTGGAATAAAAAGTTAGCAAATTTGTTAAACATGAACGGCCATTTGTAAAACCATGTTGCGACTCATTTATTAATTTATGTTTTTCAAGATGGAGACGAATTGTATTTGCAATTATTGATTCAAGTAACTTTCCCACAATAGACGTTAGGTTAATTGGCCGATAGTTTGACGCAAGTGATCTATCTCCTTTCTTAAAAATTGGTACCACATTAGCTACCTTCCATGACTCTGGCACTCTGCCTGACTCTATTGATTTATTAAATATGGTAGACAGTGGCTCGGAAAGCTCCTCTTTGCATTCCTTTAGCACCCTGACAAACACTTCATCCGGCCCTGGAGATTTCTTTGGTTTTAGTTTTTCTAATTGTTTAATTACATCCTCCCTGGTAACTGCTAAACTAGTCAACCTGTCCTCATCCCCACCCACATAGACTTGTTCGGCTGAAGGCATATTGTTAAGTTCTTCTTTAGTAAATACAGATATAAAATATTTTTTAAAAATACTACTCATCTCCTTGTCATTATCCGTTATTTGACCTGTCTCAGATTTTAATGGACCTATCCTTTCCCTAGTCTTAGTTCGATATAACTGAAAAAAAACTTTAGGATTTGACTTTGCTTGCTCTGCTATGCGAACTTCATAGTTTCTTTTTGCTTTCCTAATCTCTTTTTTAACATTTCTAACCAGTTGTATGAATTCCTGTTCTAAACTGACTTCCCCATTCTTAATCCTTTTGTACCAAGCTCTCTTTTTACCTATCTCTTAAATTTCTTGTGTGTAGTTTGGTCAACATCTCTTGATTGTTTCAAGCGTAGGATAGACATATATATATATATGAATGAGTTTGAGTGGATATAAAACGGAGCTGCCACCTATGGGCCAATATGACTTCTGCAGTTTCCTTCATTCTTAAGAACATAAGAACAAAGGTAACTGCAGAAGGCCTATTGGCTCATACGAGGGCCAATCCTTTTGTACCAAGCTCTCTTTTTACCTATCTCTTCAATTTCTTGTGTGTAGTTTAGTCAACATCTCTTGACTGTTTCAAGCGTAGGATAGACATATATATATATGAATGAGTTTGAGTGGATATAAAAAGGAGCTGCCACCTATGGGCCAATATGACTTCTGCAGTTTCCTTCATTCTTAAGAACATAAGAACAAAGGTAACTGCAGAAGGCCTATTGGCCCATACGAGGCAGCTCCTATCTATAACCACCCAATCCCACTCATATACTTGTCCAACCCGCGCTTGAAACAATCGAGGGACCCCACCATGTTACGCGGTAATTGGCTCCACAAATCAACAACTCTGTTACCGAACCAGTATTTACCCAAGTCTTTCCTGAATCTAAACTTATCCAATTTATACCCATTGTTTCGTGTTCTGTCTTGTGTTGATATTTTTAGTACCCTATTAATATCCCCCCTGTTATGTCCATTCATCCACTTGTAAACCTCTATCATGTCACCCCTAACTCTTCGCCTTTCCAGTGAATGCAACTTAAGCTTTGTTAATCTTTCTTCATATGAAAGATTTCTAATTTGGGGAATTAACTTAGTCATCCTACGTTGGACACGTTCAAGTGAATTTATATCCATTCTTATGTTATTATTAGTTAACTAGTGAGTTAACTACTAATAACTTTTATAACAATAATTAACTATCACAGCCTGTATAACTCACTATATATAGTGAGTTAACTATAATTATGGTTAACTATAATTATAGTTAACTGTAATTAGTTATAGTTAACTATAATTATAGTTAACTGTAATTAGTTATAGTTAACTATAATTAGTTATAGTTAACTATAATTAGTTATAGTTAACTATAATTAGTTATAGTTAACTATAATTAGTTATAGTTAACTATAATTAGTTATAGTTAACTATAATTAGTTATAGTTAACTATAATTAGTTATAGATAACTATAATTAGTTATAGTTAATTAATAACTAGTTAGCAACCATCCAGATGTTGTTTCAGATTTAGCTACTCAGAACGAAGTGTCCATGTAGCACAGGCTATGGTGAGCCCGTGAGCCATCAAGAGTCAAGCATCCCTCATATTCCGACTCCTCTTTTCCACCTCACCCACCTGAAATATAAGCTGAATTTCTGGACCTTTCATTGTTTCATGTGAGTGTAGGACTTGGTTGAACATCGGTTTCCTCTGGGAAAAGTTCAGGCAATATTTGCTAGAGAAAACGTTGGAGAATGGACTTCAATTCACGTTGGAGAATGGACTTCAATTCTTTCTTCGGAGCCGCGTCGACAATCGACCCTTCCAGAATCTGTTTAGATGGAGTATTAGAAACGATTAGGAATATACATTACATGACGGACGCTGTCATAATTAAGTTATACTCCAAAAAGACTCGCCTTGGTCTCTTTTGGGCACAAACTTTTGCCTCGTTTATGGGGACGAAGTCTATTATTATAACTGGTCAGTGGGAGGACATCCTCTGGGAAATTCTTGCACTTGTTAGACACTGGAGGCCAGAGTTCATATTGGAAAAGAACTTACATTCTCATGTCTTGAAATCATGGATTCTCAAGTTGTTTGCCGATCCCAAGCTGTGTCCAAACCCTTACCTTCGCCTGGAAATGTTAAGGTTTATCGGCATGTGGCCAAAGTCTTATCTTGAGGACAGCACTTCTGGCCGTCAGGCAGCTGCAGGTTTGGTGGCCATGAGCGCTTATCTGAAGCTGGATCATCTCATGCCCAGAGACTCACTGGAGACAGATCTCTTCTACCACCTCATCGAGGTACTGTACTGCCTGCTTATGTTCGGTCACCTGAATGAAGTTACTGCTGCAGCCGTAGACCAAATGACAAGTCTGAATGTCGGATCTGAAGCGTTGTTTTTCAACCACATGGTGCAGCTGCTCATGCAGATGGCAGAAGCGATACCAGAAAGTTATAATGCAAATTCTATAGACATTAATCAAGTTGCAATGTCGTTCGATAACATCATACGGTTATTTGAGCTGTTGGTAACAATTGACCCAACCATAGACGCATACGCTGCTCCTGGCCTGGCTCAGACCGCGGCAGCTTCTCTCTTTACTATAACATCTTCTTTAGCTGCAATGAGCTCCACATTTGCAGGCGAGGATGCCAGCCTCCACTTAACGTCCATTGGTGGCCTCCTCGTAAGACTCTTCCACAATCTGGACGACCTTTACAAAGTAGTGTCATCATCGATTGATTCACGAACTGTCACTCGAGTTCTGCGCATAAGATACGCTCAGCTGCTCTCGTCTGTCAACGAGCAGTTGACCGAGTATGATTGTCATTTTAAACACTTCCCAACACCGGAGGCGTCGACGGAAGAATGCCCGGAGCAGTTCGTGGACAGCCTGACGCAGGAGGTGATGGAGGCGCCAGTGTTGCTACAGTCGTCCAAGATGGTGGTGGACGAGTCGACACTACTCCACCTGCTGCTGGAGTCCCCCTCAGACCCCTTCACTCGGGTACCTCTGCACCCCGGCTCCTTCAGTCGCCTGCCCGACCTCCAGGCTGACATTGCTGCCTGGAGGAACACCTCCAGAGGTCACAATGACGTTACCGAATTCAACAGTGACGTCAGTGTGATCAGTGAGACCATTGGTGAGAGTGTCAACAATACCGGGAGTGACGTCGTCGGTGACAGTGAGAACGACGTCGGTGGAAACAGTGAAAACGACGTCGGTGGAAACAGTGAGATCAACGACGGTGACAGTGATATCAACGACGGTGACACTGATATCAACGTCGGTGACAGTGATATCAACGTCGGTGACAGTGATATCAACGACGGTGGAAGCAGTGATATCAACGACGGTGGAAGCAGTGATATCAACGACGGTGACAGTGAGATTAACGACGGTGACAGTGATATCAACGACGGTGACAGTGATATCAACGACGGTGACACTGATATCAACGTCGGTGACACTGATATCAACGTCGGTGACACTGATATCAACGTCGGTGACAGTGATATCAACGACGGTGACAGTGATATCAACGACGGTGACAGTGATATCAACGACGGTGGAAACAGTGAGATCAACGACGGTGGAAACAGTGAGATTAACGACGGTGAAGACAGTGAGACGACGGTGAAGACAGTGAGATAACGACGGTGAAGACAGTGAGAACGATGACGGTGAAGACACGGTGGAAACAGTGAGAACGACGACGGTGAAACAGTGAGATTAACGAAGACATTGAGAACGATAACGACGGTGAAGACAGTGAGATTAACGACGGTGACAGTGAGATTAACGACGGTGACAGTGAACTGACGGTGACACTGATATCAACGTCGGTGACACTGAACAAGTGAGTGATATCAACGACGGTGACAGTGAGATCAACGGCGGTGGAAACAGTGAGATTAACGACGGTGAAGACAGTGAGATTAACGACGGTGACGGTGAAACAGTGAGATTAACGACGGTGGAAACAGTGAGATTAACGACGGTGGAAACAGTGAGATTAACGACGGTGACCGTGAGGTTTACGACGGTGACAGTGAGTTTAACGACGGTAACGACGGTGACAGTGAGATTAACGATAGTGACAGTGATATTAACGACGGTGGAAACAGTGAGATTAACGACGGTGAAGACCGTGAGGTTAACGACGGTGAAGACAGTGAGATTAACGACGGTGAAGACAGTGAGATTAACGACGGTGACAGTGATATCAACGACGGTGACAGTGATATCAACGACGGTGGAGACAGTGAGAACGACGCCGGTGAGACAGTGAGAACGACGCCGGTGGAGACAGTGAGAACGACGCCGGTGGAGACAGTGAGAACGACGCCGGTGGAGACAGTGATATCAACGACGGTGAAGACAGTGAGAACGACGCCGGTGGAGACAGTGAGAACGACGCCGGTGGAGACAGTGATATCAACGACGGTGACAGTGATATCAACGACGGTGACGACAGTGCCAGTCACACAAACCATACTACCATCAGTGGTGTTAACAAGAACGAGTGCCAACTAGGCCAATTGCTTCGTAACTTTTATTGTGTTTATATGAAACTTATGTATTAAGCTCGTTTAAATAAAATTATGCTACTGCATTTTGTATTTATTGTATGTACTATCTGAGTATATGTATAACAGTATTTCATTAATAAATCTTCACAACATAAATACATATGTATTATTACAAATCTTTAATAGCAATATTATTATAATATTTCCTTGAAAAATAGAACTACACATATCAAGGAAGCTGAAGGAGTCTATTGGCCCATACGAGGCACCTCCTATTTATATTCACACAAACCCATACCTATGTTTAATCTACGCTCGAAACAGTTCAAGCGTAGACTAACCTGTTCCATAACAACCTTGCTACCAAACCAGTATTTACCCAGAAAATAGAGAACTATTAACTGAATATCAAATAAATGTACTTTTTTTTTATTTGGAATAAATGAATAAATGGACAAATAGACTATTTCATACAGATATATTAGATACCATGAGCCTCTATGTTTTTAATCAGTCTTATATGACACTGTATCAAAGTCAAGGTACACAGCATCACAAACCTTAGCACAAACTGTCTCAACTATGCTGGAATAAAATGATAACAAATTTGTTAAATATGAACGGTCATTTGTAAAAGGTGACTGCAGAAGGCCTATTGACCCATACGAGGTGAGATGCCAAGCTTGCTTGAACGGCGACTAATCTGAGTATCTGTTCCCCCTATCTCTGGCACAAAACGTTCTGTCTAAATACCTCACCTGGGAATCTCCCACAACCAAAATTCGCTTCGATTATCCCTTTTCCTTTCGAGCAGTTTGAGGGACCTGCGCTTCAATGCTCCTCGTTACTTTGTCTTTGCCACCTCGTTGAACAACAGGTTCAACACAGCACTCGTCCTCAAATACGTCAAATGCGTTAAAAGTCCTTAGGTGTAGGCTATTAGTTGTCGGTTTTGCCAAGGTCTTCTTAAGACCCCTGTCTCTCACAACTTGCCAAGACGAGGACTTCTTAATACTGGTCCCGTCAGTTTTCTTAATGAGGTCCCGTTAACACTGGCCTCCTCCTTCGTTTCCTCCCGAAGTCTCAGCCGTCGTACCTCCTCCCGCAGGGAATCAATCGCAGGGAATACTCTAGTTAGGCCCCATTTAGATTATGCAGTTCAGTTTTGGTCGCCATATTATAGAATGGACATAACTTGAACGTGTCCAGCGTAGGATGACTAAGTTAATTCCCCAAATTAGAAATCTTTCATATGAAGAAAGATTAACAAAGCTTAAGTTGCATTCACTGGAAAGGCGAAGAGTTAGGGGTGACATGATAGAGGTTTACAAGTGGGTGAATGGACATAACAAAGGGGATATTAATAGGGTATTAAACGTATCAACACAAGACAGAACACGAAACAATAGGTATAAATTGGATAAGTTTAGATTTAGGAAAGACATGGGTAAATACTGGTTCAGTAACAGGGTTGTTGATTTGTGGAACCAATTACCGCGTAACGTGCTAGAGGTGGAGTCCCTCGATTGTTTCAAGCGCGGGTTGGACAAGTATATGAGTGGGATTGGGTGGTTATAAATAGGAGCTGCCTCGTATGGGCCAACAGGCCTTCTGCAGTTGCCTTTGTTCTTATGTTCATATGTTCTTATGAATCCATCTCTGCTCTCAGAGCTCCAACCAGACTCACCAAAGCCTTCACTAATCCTTCCATTATTGCAATAATAATGTTAATGTTAATGAATCTAAATCATTTATATATATTATAAATGTGACCCACTGTCAACCATATATAATAAATCAATAGAGTCAGGCAGAGTGCCAGAGTTTTGGAAAGTTGCTAATGTGATACCAGTTTTTAAGAAAGGAGATAGATCACTTCCGTCTAACTATCGACCAATTAGCCTAACGTCTATTGTGGGAAAGTTACTTGAATCTATAATAGCAAATAAAATTCGTCTTCATCTTGAAAAACATAAATTAATAATTGAGTTGCAACAAGGTTTTATAAATGGCCGTTCATGTTTAACAAATTTGTTTGCTAACTTTTTATTCCAGCATAGTTGAGGCAGTTGATAGTGGTAAGGATTGTGATGTTGTGTACCTTGACTTTAGCAAAGCTTTTGATACAGTGCCACATGGAAGACTAATTAAAAAAATAGAAGCTCATGGTATTGGGGGTGCTATATTAACTTGGATTAGGGCATGGCTATTCCAAAGGAAACAGAGAGTTAGTATAAATGGGGTTAAGTCAGAGTGGGATAATGTTGTTAGTGGAGTTCCTCAGGGCTCTGTCCTGGGACCTCTGTTGTTTAAAATATATATAAATGATTTAGATTCATGTTTGAGTAGCAACATTTGCAAATTTGCCGATGATACAAAAATCGGTAGGGAAATTAATTCGGAGGAGGACTCACTATCACTTCAAGTTGATCTAGATAGGGTTTTGAAATGATCAAAGGATTGGCAAATGCAGTTTAATGCTGATAAATGTAAAGTTCTGAGGTTAGGTAATGATGATAGAGTTACAAGATACGAGCTAGATGGTGTTGAGATTGCGAAAGGGATCTGGGAGTTATGATTAGTAAGAATTTAAAAAGATTTAAAAAGATTTCTCCCTCACCTGGGAGATTCCCAGGTGAGGTATTTAGACAGAACGTTTTGTGCCAGAGATAGGGGGAACAGATTAAGGGTTTGCTATCCGGGAGCTGGAATTGGTGATATTGTTGAAAACATGAATGATATTATGACGGGAAATGGGAACAAACCCATTATTTGTATTAGTGCAGGGGGTAATGATGTTGGGCGAGTTAGGAGTGAGGAACTAATACAGAGATTTAGGACAGCCATTGAATTAGTTAGGAGCAAGGGAGGAATCCCGATCATATGTGGCATTCTTCTAAGAAAGGGAGTGGGAAATGAATGGATGTCGAGGGCACTTGGTGTCAATTGCCGGCTGGAAAGATATTGCAAACCAAATGCAATATCTTTCATAGACAACTGGGAACGCTTCTATGGAAGAAATGAAATGTATGCTCGTGATGGGGTGCATCTATCGAGGGCTGGGGTTGTTGCTGTTGCGAACTCGTTGGAACCAGTGGTTAGAGGTGTTTGTTTGGGTTTAAACTGTTAGTAGATAGTGGTATGGGAATTGATTTGGAGGAAGGAGGTAATAAAAGTATGTGTTCGTGGGAGAAAAGAATTGGCAAAATGATCAGGGAAAGAAAAGGGCCTCAACCAAATTAATTAATTTGGAAACACAAATTAATGACATCGAAATAGGGAGTGAGCTAGGGAACAGTGATCACAAAGTAATCAGATTTATCATAGAATGGAATATACCTGCAGGAGAAAATTCTGTTAAAGTGCCAGATTTTCGAAAAGCTGATTTTAATAACCTAAGAATTTTTCTGTGAAAACAGTGAGATTAACGACGGTGGAAACAGTGAGATTAATGACAGTGATATCAACGACGGTGACAGTGAGATTAACGACGGTGAAGACAGTGAGATTAACGACGGTGAAAACAGTGAGATTAACGACGGTGGAAACAGTGAGATTAACGACGGTGAAGACAGTGAGATTAACGACGGTGACAGTGAGATTAACGACGGTGAAGACAGTGAGATTAACGACGGTGAAGACAGTGAGATTAACGACGGTGAAGACAACGAGATTAACGACGGTGAAGACCGTGAGATTAACGACGGTGAAGACAGTGAGATTAACGACGGTGAAGACAGTGAGATTATCGACGGTGAAGACCGTGAGATTAACGACGGTGAAGACAGTGAGATTAACGACGGTGAAGACAGTGAGAACGACGGTGAAGACAGTGAGATTAACGACGGTGAAGACAGTGAGATTAACGACGGTGAAGACAGTGAGATTACCGACGGTGAAGACTGTGAGATTATCGACGGTGAAGACCGTGAGATTAACGACGGTGAAGACAGTGAGATTAACAACGGTGAAGACAGTGAGATTAACGACGGTGAAGACAGTGAGAACGACGGTGAAGACAGTGAGATTAACGACGGTGAAGACAGTGAGATTACCGACGGTGAAGACCGTGAGATTATCGACGGTGAAGACCGTGAGATTATCGACGGTGAAGACCGTGAGATTATCGACGGTGAAGACCGTGAGATTATCGACGGTGAAGACCGTGAGATTAACGACGGTGAAGACCGTGAGATTAACGACGGTGAAGACAGTGAGATTAACGACGGTGAAGACAGTGAGATTAACGACGGTGAAGACAGTGAGATTAACGACGGTGAAGACAGTGAGATTAACGACGGTGAAGACAGTGAGATTAACAATGGTGAAGACAGTGAGATTAACGACGGTGAAAACAGTGAGATTAACGACGGTGAAAACAGTGAGATTAACGACGGTGAAAACAGTGAGATTAACGACGGTGAAGACAGTGAGAACGATGACGGTGAAAACAGTGCCAGTCACACAAACCATACTACCATCAGTGGTGTTAACAAGAACGAGTGCCAACTAGGCCAATTGCTTCGTAACTTTTATTGTGTTTATATGAAACTTATGCATTAAGCTCGTTTAAATAAAATTATGCAACTGCATTTTGTATTTATTGTATGTACTATCTGAATCTATGTATATGTATAACAACAGTATTTCATTAATAAATCTTCACAACATAAATACATATGTATTATTACAAATCTTTAATAGCAATATTATTATAATATTTCCTAGAAGCATAGAACTACACATAACAAGGAAGCTGAAGGAGCCTATTGGCCCATACGAGGCACCTCCTATTTATATTCACACAAACCCATACCTATGTTTAATCTACGCTCGAAACAGTTCAAGCGTAGATTAACCTGTTCCATAACAACCTTGCTACCAAACCAGTATTTACCCAGAAAATAGAGAACTATTAACTGAATATCAAATAAATGGACATTTTTTTTATTTGGAATAAATGAATAAATGGACAAATAGATTATTTCACACGGATATATTAGATACCATGAGCCTCTATCTTTTTAATCAGTCTTTTATATGACACTGTATCAAAGTCAAGGTACACAACATCACAAACCTTAGCACTATCAACTGCCTCAACTATGCTGGAATAAAATGATAACAAATTTGTTAAATATGAACGGTCATTTGTAAAAGGTGACTGCAGAAAACCTATTGACCCATACGAGGTGAGATGCCAAGCTTGCTTGAACGCGAATTAGCTTCGGCGACTAATCTGAGTATCTAGTGGGCCTTTTGGTAAGCAGAACTGACGCTGTATGTCCGCCATACAACGGACATAATTAATAGAGTGGTTATAAATAGGACAAAATAGTTATAAATAGAAATTATCTGAGTATCTAGTTGCCATAGTTTTAATAGAATTAAAATCTTACATTTGTCAGCATTAACTGCATCTGCCAATCTTTTGACCATTTCAAAATCCTATTTACATCAACTTGAAGTGATAGTGAGTGTTCTTCCGTGTTAATTTCTCTACCGATTTTTGTATCATCGGCAAATTTGCAACTTTTGCTGCTCATCTAAATCATTTATATATATATTATGAATAACAGAGGTCCCAAGACAGAGCCCTGAGGCACTCCAATTACAACATTTTCTCACTCCGACTTAACTCCATTTATACTAATTTTTTGCTTCCTTTTGTATTATGATTCCATAATCCTAATATAGCACCCCTCATTACCATGAGCCTCTATCTTTTTAATCAGTCTTTCGTGTGGCACTCTTTCAATTGCCGCGTAACATAATAGAAGTAGGATCCCTTGATTATTTCAAGCGTAGGTTAGACATTTATATAAATATATGTTCGCTGGGAAGGAAGATCCACCGCGATGTCGTACGAACAAGCCACTGAGTACTACTTTCTCAAACCTGGCATAAAGTTATCCAGAAACATTGCAGTATCCACACAGACTCAGACGTGGGTACAAGTGCTGCTGGGAGGTAATAAACCCAATAATTAGAGAGTAACTCCTACTGAGGAGTTACATGTTAACTCTCATCTCACTTCCCCATACACAGGCACAGGCACCACTATTGTATTACTGGAATGTGAATCAACTGAAGCTCTGCGCATGAAACTCAACATTAATCCAATGACAACAGCTGCATTAGATGCAAATTCCATAGCGACTACAATGATTAGAAAAGCAGTTAAAGAATGGGACAAAATAGTGAACACTGTGCATCTATATCCGCCACCAAGATAATGTTATTAAAACAAGACTTATACCAGTGCGCTAAACAGAAACGGGAACAGGTGGAATCCCCACCACCATTTAAAACTTTGACCCAAATATCACAGTAACAAAGTTATCGCGAATAACCGAACTCCATTACGGGTTCACTATAGCTCGTGCTACATGGACACTTCGTTCTGAATAGCTAAATTTAAAACAACAATAACTTGACGCTGCGTGGGGATCCTCGTAGATGAATTCTGTCGATCTGTTGCTGATATATATACGGTATTCAGATATGCGTGATGGAAGGGCGGGGGGACATTATGAAGTTCGAGGAAGATTCAAAGTTCCTGAGCATCATGGACAAGGCGGATAGAGGGCCGGGATCGCCAGTTGTACGGAAACTGTGGTACAATAAAGATGTAGTCACATATATTTGTGACTGCTTCACCCACAGTTGGTGATGTTTGAGACTGCTTCTTCCACAGGTGGTGGGAGACACATCTCCCACATGCATAATTATTACACAATAATCAGTGGTTAACTAATTGTGTACGCCAGTAATTGTTTATACACTGACTAGTGTAACTAAGAACTCCTACTGAGGAGTTACATGTTAACTCTCATCTCACTTCCCCATACCACATACATCTCAAACAATTTATATCACGTCATTACGTATAAGGTGATGGTGTATGCGTTACAAATATATTTGTATAATGTTGTGGATATTCACCTTGATTTGGCTCGTCTTCGAGTTCCACAACAGTGCGTACTTTAGCTTGTACCAGAGTCTAGTCATGGATCAGGCTATCCATCAGCTGGACCTGGTACCTCAGCAGGCAAGACCACAGCAAGCGGGGATGGACCAGGCTCCCCAGCAGGCGGGGATGGACCCGGATCCCCAGCAGGAGCCGAAGAAGACCAGGCTGAATGGCAGCAGCATATTCTGGAGCTGGCTCGCCTCGCAGCCGCTGGCGGGAAGCCTAGTCTCCGACCATCTGAAGGTTCCCGTCAGCCAGTGGACTTGGCTCCCCTACGTCGGGTCAGTGATGCGCCTGGTCCACTTCCGGAGGCAGGTCACCCGCCTGCAGACAGAGAAGGCCAGAGAAGGTCGTTGGAAGATAGACTACATACTGGTCCGTGCCTCCAGCCTTCTGTTTATCCTACTCACTGGCTGCCTCTACTTTGAGGCGCTCAGGGCCTCGTACTACCGTCAATCTCAGCGCCTGATCATGGCTGAGCAGAAAACCAGGCTTGCCAATCAGATCTGGCTCAGTTCCCTGCCAATCATGAGGCACCTGGTGGCTCCGAAACTTGTGATGGACGACCAAACTTCCTTTTGGAAAACTGATGTTTTCTGGAGGTGCCTCGCCTCGCTGCCGCTCGTAGGGGGCTTGGTACCCAATTATCTGAAGGTTAAGGTGAGGTGGAGTTGGGTGCCGGTCCTGGGGCCGTACGCCCGTCTGGTGCACCTGCGGAAGACGGTCACCTACCTGCAGGAGACGCTGCAGGAAGGTGACTGGGGCGACCGGAAGAGCCCCTCGGTTACTGCCGACCCCTTCACTTTCGTTTGTATTGGGCTGGTTTGTGCCGGCGTGTGGGTGGTGAAGCGGCTCAGTCTGCTGGTGAAACTGCTTAGGCTGCTTGTGAAGGTGTTGATGACGGAGTTATACATCTCCCTTCACACTGATCTCTCCCTTCACCCTGATCCCTCCCTCCTCCCTGATCCCTCCCTTCACCCTGATCCCTCCCTTCACCCTGACCCATCCCTTCACCCTGATCCCTCCCCCCACAACATCCCCTCAGGTATCTCTGAGGGCTTCCCACATGAATGTCATCATTGCTGTGTTCAGGCCTGTCCTCAGAACTGTCCTCGTGGTTTTTCCCCGGGCTACCACAAGGGCTTCCCTCAGGGCTACCCACAGGGTTTCCCTCTGGGGAGGCCTCGTGGCTACCTCTTTGGCCACCATCACTGCTGCCCTCATTGCAACCCTGCATGGCTACCCCCAGGGCTACTCCTCAGGGCAAACCTCACGGACTTCCCACAGGGCTTCCTGTAAGGGTAAACATTGAATCGTCGTTAATAATTATAATTTGTGAGCATCCCTTTGCCCTGGCCCCTAATACCTCCCTTAACCCTGCCCCTTGAAGCTGTAGCACGTATCTTCATTCTGAGTGAAGCAATATCAGGTGGTTCCTCTGGTATCACTTCCTTTGCGACAGAATTGTGTGTCTTGTGCTAATATTGAGGTTTCCCCTGAAGATATTGGTAAAGCTCCATTTTCTTTATAAATTCTGGTATCATTTTTCCTCTCTTCAAACTCTCCTCTAAATAAATTTCCTTATCTTTGATCAAGCATTATTACATTACCTCGTTCTTCTTTTTTAACTTTAATGATCATGTATACAAAATTTTACAAAAAGTGTTATGGAAAAACTACGATATTTCTCATTTTCTATACATGATTATCTTTAGCTATTTTTTTGTCATTCTCTTTAGGTAGTTTATATTTGTTAAGCTAAGTTTATTATTGTCTTTAGCAATTGTCTTATTCCCTTTAAGGCAATTCTAGTTTTTGTAGCTAATTTTAAATTTTAACAAATGTTTGTATCTTGTTTTTCCAACCAGTAGTTTCCTACACAAACATACATATAATAATCCCTGTGTCGGGGACAGGAAGAATGTGCACATATAATTTTGGCTTGTATCGAGGTTCCCCCCCACCAAGGTGGAACTACTGATCCTCTCCAGGGTGCAAACCCCACAACAGTTACCTGTTGTGGGGTTTGCGGGTACCTATTTACTGCTAGGTGAACAGATACATAGGAGCCATAACAGGTGATAGGATACATACATAGGATACATAACAGGTGATAATAGATACATACATACGTAGGATACATAACAGGTGATAATAGATACATAACAGGTGATAATAGGTACATACATAGGATACATAACAGGTGATAGGAAACGTGTCCAAATATTTCTGGTCCGGCCGGAAAACGAAGCCGGGATCCCCGATTGTGAGTGGAGAACGAAGGCAAGAGAACTACTCTCAAGTGCACATCTTATCATTAATGGTTGAGGCAGGTATAAATTAACACATCAGCAATTGTGTATAATTTTTTTCTGAAGATAGTAGGAGGCATCCATCATTCTCAGGAGACTATGGAGTTGCGCTCTGATGTCGGCCTGGATATCGTGCCTCTGATTACGGCCCGTCGGTCCGTAAGATACGAGTTATCTTACGGACCGACAGGACTGATGAAAGAAGCTTCCTTTGAACATGTCCTGAGAAGACTCTTCAAGTCTTCCTCGGGTGTGTCTAATTTAAGGGTGCTCTCATCTCTGTGTAAAATACAAGAGCTCTTTAGACGTTAGAAATTGTCCTTGTTAATATATGTTAGCATTTGTTCTGGTAAGAAAAAGTATGAGCGACTGCAAACAATTTATTTTTTAAGTTATATGCATCAGATTGTTGAAATAAATAATTTGGTGGTTGTATATATGTCGTCAACTTATTCCTATAAGGCGAGTTACAATGAGAATTATTCAATTAAGTTAACTATAGCTGGGTGAGGGCTTGTAGCTTGGAATGGGCTTATAGGTCGGTACAGGCTTGTAGCTTGGAATGGGCTTATAGGTCGGTACAGGCTTGTAGCTTGGAGTGGGCTTATAGGTCGGTACAGGCTTGTAGCTTGGAGTGGGCTTATAGGTCGGTACAGGCTTGTAGCTTGGAGTGGGCTTATAGGTCGGTACTGGCTTGTAGCTTGGAGTGGGCTTATAGGTCGGTACAGGCTTGTAGCTTGGAGTGGGCTTATAGGTCGGTACAGGCTTGTAGCTTGGAGTGGGCTTATAGGTCGGTACAGGCTTGTAGCTTGGAGTGAGCTTATAGGTCGGGGCGGGCTGGTAGCTAGGCTGGTAGGCTGGGTACTGAGCCTCGCCCTGGTACTCCACTTGAGCGACGTAGCCGGAGTCACCGTTCACAGTGTAGGAGACGCTCTCCAAGCGACCGTCGGGACGCTGGACGTAATAGGAACCCTGAGTGTCGTAGCCATTACGAGTTTCGTCGTGGCCGAAGTTGTTGCCGGAGGGGTCGTCCTTCACGGCCCACTGGAACTGGTATTGTGCAATGTCCTGTGTAGTAAAGTCAATAGAGAATTCAAATCCCGAAGACCTATCAACATATATTTTTGTTTACAGCTACTAATGACGGCTTGCTTTTCGGAATATGATGGAATATTTGATAAACAATAGTTTGTTTACCATTGTATCCGAAGGCAAGTTAGGCACTTACCGCTGGAGGACTGTTGTATGATGGAGTTCGTGGGTAGTAGGAGGGAGTTGGAGTGTTATAAGAGGGAGTTGGAGGGTAGTAGGAGGGAGCTGGAGGGTTGTAGGAGGGAGCTGGAGGGTTGTAGGAGGGAGGTGGAGAATTGTAGGAAGGAATGTATTGAGCTGAGGCGACCACTACGAGGATGGCCACAATGAAAACCTGCAAATAGTTAAATATAAGATTATAAAAGAACATATCCATTGATTTAAAAATGCGCTAAATAATGACAATATTATCAGCTCGTATGATTATGAGAAGATACCTTGGGAGCCATGGTGTATGTCTGCATGGGGAGTGAAGAACGTGACTGATGTTCAGCAACTAGTGCTGAGGCCTTATATACTGGAGTCTGGATCTCCCCTGCTGAGGCATCATCATCATCATTGACACACAAGACATTGATGACCTTGCCAATTATAGGTTTGATAATTTATTTGATAAGAACGCGGCTTTTGTATGCTAGTTTTATATATTTATGGAGAGCATTTTAGTTTCTAACAGATGTAGTAGGCATCCATCAGTCTCAGGAGACTATGGAGTTGCACTCTGGTGTCGGCCTGGTCTGGAGTGGCCTCACCAGGGCACAAAGCCAGGGTAGGTTGATTCGGGGGAGAAGCTGTTACCCAGGCAGCAGGTCCCCCCTCTCCACATCTCCTAACAGATGTATTTACTTTATTATTAAGATGTACTTTCTTTTCATTAATCATTAATACTCATTATTGCTAATAATTATTTTATTTTATTGGTTTTTCTTCAACAAAATATTAATAATACTTTATTAGATTAGATCTATCGACTTGAGAATGGTCCAGGACGGACCGAAACGTCGTCGTCCCTTCACCTTCTAGTGTGTGGTCTGGTCAACTTTATTAGATTATTTTCAATGTTTCCTGTACCAGACTTTAGTTATTCAATCTGCCTCCAGACTGAACACTATCAACTACGGTGTCAAAGTCTCGAAGCTTTATTAAAATTTAGACCACCGTAATATTGGTACCTGCTCGGATTAATAAAGATTGGCCTAGATAGGTTGGGTGGGTAGTCTTTATTCGAACGATTATTGGTAAAAATGGTTTCGAATTTGACGCTTGTCAGATCATAATAATGGAATGATTTAATAATTGCTTTCCAGCGGCCTTTATTTGCTGAGTCCTGGGAAAAGCCAGGGTCCAGGATCCCAGTTTTTTCTTTTTGTCAATTTTTAAAGAAATTTTATGAAAAAAATGGGAAAGAGAGCTCTCACTTTATAAACCTTGAGTGTGAGAGGGAGAATTCTTAGTCTGTAAATACTGGGTGTAGGAGGGAGAAGTCTTAACTTGTAAATACTGGGTGTAGGAGGGAGAACTCTTAACTTGTAAATACTGGGTGTAGAAGGGAGAACTCTTAACTTGTAAACACTGGGTGTAGAAGGGAGAACTCTTAACTTGTAAATACTGGGTGTGGGAGGGAGAACTCTTAACTTGTAAATACTGGGTGTAGGAGGGAGAACTCTTAACTTGTTAATACTGGGTGTAGGAGGGAGAACTCTTAACTTGTAAACACTGGGTGTAGGAGGGAGAACTCTTAACTTGTAAACACTGGGTGTAGGAGGGAGAACTCTTAACTTGTAAACACTGGGTGTAGGAGGGAGAACTCTTAATATGCAAACATTGGGTGTATGAGGGAGAACTCGTAGCATACAAATAAGACTTAGGAAAGTGTTTTATCTTTATTTATATTTATTAATAACTGTCTTTGACAAGTTCTCATAGTTGCTTCTTTAATTACCAAGGACATGGCTCTCCCTCAAGACAGCTGATGATCTCATACAAGGATGAATGGAGCATCTTCTATATAAAGCTGAAGCATTAAATGCTGATCACCAGTTCTCCTCCATATCGCAGACCAGCATGGCTTCGAAGGTGCGTTCCTTAAAGCATACCAGTTGCTATTATTGTTATAATTAGTCCAAGACGTTTATAAAAAAAAGCATTGGAATTATTTTTTTTATGTTTTAAAGGTTTTTATGTTTTATTTTCACAGGTTTTTGTTGTCATAGTCACTGTCCTGGCTGTCGCCTCAGCTGACAGCCGATTGTCATCCCGTTCTCCACCTCCCTCCCGCACTACACCAACTTCTACGGTACGGGCGTTACTTCCGCTATGTAAAATATGATCAAATCATGTTTACTTACAGAATCTAGAAACAAAAATTTAGATCTTCTAAAACTAGATTGATAATAGCGACTGTTGAGAGACAGATTTCCAGTTTATTTTGCGTAGAGTTCACTATAAAATTTCAATATATTTCAGTGTTGTTTTTTTTATTGAACAAAACACGAAACAATGGGTATAAATTGGATAAGTTTAGATTTAGGAAAGACTTGGGTAAATACTGGTTCGGTAATAGGGTTGTTGATTTGTGGAACCAATTACCGCGTAACGTGGTGGAGGTGGGGTCCCTCGATTGTTTCAAGCGTGGGTTGGACATGTATATGAGTGGGATTGGGTGGTTATAGATAGGAGCTGCCTCGTATGGGCCAATAGGCCTTCTGCAGTATGGGCCAATAGGCCTTTACCTTGTTCTTATGTTCTTATTGCAGTCCGGCCCTGCTGGTCAACCAACTCCAAGCATCAAGCCCAGTCGTACTATACGACCAATCACCGTCAACCATCCTACTCCACGCTTGAAGACCAGTCGTACTGTGCGGCCCACTCAGAGCATCAAGCCTGGCCCAACCATGCGACCTACTCCCAACAGCCAGCCCACTCCCAGCTTCAAGCCCGGCCCTACCATGCACCCCACACTGAGTAATCTGCCTACTCCCGGCCCAACCAGCCGTTCTTCAAGGCAAAGGCCTTCTCCCTGAGATGTTTAACTTCTTCACAAGCAGACTTATAACATTTGATTCTGTTGATAAAGACACGGAGATATTTCCTGTTGCATATAACTCATTTAGAAATATGTATTAATAGGCAGTTTTATTATCATTAATAAAATTTATTATCATTAATAAAAAATTAATAAAAGACTTGGTAAATACTGGTTCAGTAACAGGGTTGTTGATTTGTGGAACCAATTGCCGCGTAACGTGGTGGAGATGGGGTCCCTCGATTGTTTCAAGCGCGGGTTGGACAAGTATATGAGTGGGATTGGGTGGTTATAGATAGGAGCTGCCTCGTATGGGCCAATAGGCCTTCTGCAGTTACCTTTGTTCTTATGTTCTTATGTACTGCTGCTGCTACTGCTGCTGATCCTTCTGCTGATACTTCTACTACTACTACTACATCCACTACTGCTACTACTATTACCACTACTACTATTACTATAACCACTACTACTACTATTACAACTTCTACTATTACTACTACTCTGACTACTACTACTACTATTCCGACTACTGCTACTACTACTACTACTACTACTACTACTACTACTACTACTACTACTACTACTACTACTACTACTACTACTACTACTACTACTACTTCTACTACCACTACTATTATTACATCATCTACTACTACTATTACTATTACTACTTCTACTACTACTATTATTACTATTACGACTACAACTACTACATCCATTACTACTACTACTTCTACTACTACTATTATAACAACTATTACTACTACTACTATTATACCACTACTAATACTACTACTATTATACCACTACTACTATTATTACCACTACTATTACTACTACGACTACTACCTCTACTACTACTACCTGGGCATGGTATTTTATCAAATCACCTCATTCTTTGGGGCACACGTGAGGAACACAAGTGCGAACAAGCCTGAAAGGTCTCCATGACTATATGCAACTGAAAACTTACATCCCAGATGTGAATCGAGAACAAACTGCCAGGAGCACACTGCTGGCATACAGGATCCCTTAAACGCTCGACCAACACGACCGGACAAAAGAGGATGGCAGCCGAGGCTATTTCCATCCGCCTGCCGGCACTCAGTTGGTAATCTTGAGCATGGTATTTTATCAAATCGCCTAATTCTTTGGGGAACACGTAAGAACACAAATGTGAACAAGCCTGAATGGTCAACAGGAATATTTGGAACTGAAAACTCACACACCAGAAGTGATTCGAACCCATAGTGCCAGGAGCACACTGCTGGGGTACAGGATCCAGTAACCGCTCGACCAACACGACCGGATAAAAGAGGATGGTAGCCGAGGCTATTTCTATCCTCTCCACTGGCACTCGGTTAGTTATCTTAGGCATGGTATTTTATCAAATCCCTTCATTCTTTGGGGCACACGTGAGGAAAACAAATGCGAATGAGACTGAATGGTCCCCAGGAATAATTTCAACTGAAAAGTCACACCCAAGAAGAGAATCGAAACCATACTGCCAGGAGCACACTGCTGGCGTACAGGATCCCATAACCGCTCGACTAATACCACCGGACATAAGAGGATGGCAGAAGAGGCTATTTTCATCCACCCCCGCTTGTACTCGGTTGGTGATCTTAGGCATGGTATTTTATCAAATCCCCTCATTCTTTGGAGCACACGCGAGGAACACAAATGCGAAGAAGACTGAATGGTCCCCAGGACTACATGCAACTGAAAACTCATACCCCATAAGTGAATCAAACCCATACTGCCAGAAGCACACTGCTGGCGTACAGGATCCTGTATCCGCTCGTCCAACACGACCGGACAAAAGAGTATTGTAGCAGAGGCTATTTCCATTCCCCCGCTAGCACTCGGTTGGTGATCTTGGGCATAGTATTTTTTCAAAGTACCTCATTCTTTGGGGCACACGTGAGGAACACAAATGCGAACAAGCCTGAATGGTCCCCAGGACTATTTGTAACTGAAAACTCACACCCCTGAAGTGACTCGAACCCATACTGCCAGAGGCACACTGCAGGTGTACAGGATCCCTTAACCTCTCGACCAACGCGACCGGACAATAGAGGATAGTTGCCGAGGCTATTTCCATCCCCCCCCCGCCGGCACTCGGGTGGTTAACTTGGGCATCGTATTTTATCAAATCACCTCATTCTTTGGAGCACACGTGAAGAACACAAATGCGAACAAGCCTGAATGGTCCCCAGGACTATATGCAACTGAAAACTCACACCCCAGAATTGACTCGAACCCATACTGCCAGGAGTTCACTGATGGCGTACATGATCCCCTAACCGCTCTACCAACATGACCGGACAAAAAAGATGGTAGCCGAGGCTATTTCCATCCCCCCCCCGCTGGAACTCGGTTGGTTATCTTGGGCATGATATTTTATCAAATCACCTCATTCTTTGGGGCACACGTGAGGAACACAAATGCGAACAAGCCTGAATGGTCCCCAGCACTATATGCAACTGAAAACTCACACCCCAGAAGTGACACGAAACCATAATGTCAGGAGCACACTGCTGGCATACACGATCCTATAACTGCTTGCCCAATACCAACGGACATAAGAGGATGGTAGCCGAGGCTATTTCCATCCCCCCGCCGGCACTCGGTTGGTAATCTTGGGCATGGTATTTTGTCAAATCACCTCATTCTTTGGGGCACACGGGAGAAACAAAACACGAAGAAGGCTGATTGGTCCCAAGGATTATATGCAACTGAAAACTCACACCCCAGAAGTGACTCGAACCCATAACACCAAGAGCACACTGCTGGCGTATATGATCACTTCACCGCTCGACCAACACGACCGGACAAAAGAGTATGGTAGCTGAGGCTATTTCCCTCACCCCGCCGGCACTCGGTTGGCATTCTTGGGCTTGGTATTTTATCAAATCACCTCACTCTTTGGGGCACACGTGAGGAACACAAATGCGAACAAGCCTCAATGGTCCCCAGCACTATATGCAACTGAAAACTCACACCCCAGAAGTGACTCGAACCCATACTGCCAGGAGCACACAACTGGTATGTACAGGACGCCTTAACCGCTCGACCATCACGACCGGACAAAATGAGGATGATAGCTGAGGCTATTTGAACCACCCCCCCGCCGGCACTCGGATGGTAATCTTGGGCATAGCATTTTACCAAATCACCTCATTCTTTGGGGCACACGTGAGGAACACAAATGCGAACAAGCCTGAATGGTCCCCAGGACTATATGCAACTGAAAACTCACACCCCAGAAGTGACTCGAACCCATACTGCCAGGAGCAACGCAACTGGTATGTACAGGACGCCTTAATCCACTTGACCATCACGACCGGACAAAAGAGGTGATAGCCGAGGCTATTTGAACCACCCCCCCGCCGGCACTCGGATAGTAATCTTGGGCATAGCATTTTATCAAATCACCTCATTCTTTGGGGCACACGTGAGGAACACAAATGCGAACAAGCCTGAATGGTCCCCAGGACAATATGCAACTGAAAACTCACACCCCAGAAGTGACTCGAACCCATACTCCCAGGAGCAACGCAACTGGTATGTACAAGACGCCTTAATCCACTTGACCATCACGACCGGACAAAATGAGGTGATAGCCGAGGCTATTTGAACCACCCCACCGCCGGCACTCGGATAGTAATCTTGGGCATAGCATTTTACCAAATCACCTCATTCTTTGGGGCACACGTGAGGAACACAAATGCGAACAAGCCTGAATGGTCCCCAGGACAATATGCAACTGAAAACTCACACCCCAGAAGTGACTCGAACCCATACTCCCAGGAGCAACGCAACTGGTATGTACAAGACGCCTTAATCCACTTGACCATCACGACCGGACAAAATGAGGTGATAGCCGAGGCTATTTGAACCACCCCACCGCCGGCACTCGGATAGTAATCTTGGGCATAGCATTTTACCAAATCACCTCATTCTTTGGGGCACACGTGAGGAACACAAATGCGAACAAGCCTGAATGGTCCCCAGGACAATATGCAACTGAAAACTCACACCCCAGAAGTGACTCGAACCCATACTCCCAGGAGCAACGCAACTGGTATGTACAAGACGCCTTAATCCACTTGACCATCACGACCGGACAAAATGAGGTGATAGCCGAGGCTATTTGAACCACCCCACCGCCGGCACTCGGATAGTAATCTTGGGCATAGCATTTTACCAAATCACCTCATTCTTTGGGGCACACGTGAGGAACACAAATGCGAACAAGCCTGAATGGTCCCCAGGACAATATGCAACTGAAAACTCACACCCCAGAAGTGACTCGAACCCATACTCCCAGGAGCAACGCAACTGGTATGTACAAGACGCCTTAATCCACTTGACCATCACGACCGGACAAAATGAGGTGATAGCCGAGGCTATTTGAACCACCCCCCCGCCGGCACTCGGATAGTAATCTTGGGCATAGCATTTTACCAAATCACCTCATTCTTTGGGGCACACGTGAGGAACACAAATGCGAACAAGCCTGAATGGTCCCCAGGACAATATGCAACTGAAAACTCACACCCCAGAAGTGACTCGAACCCATACTCCCAGGAGCAACGCAACTGGTATGTACAAGACGCCTTAATCCACTTGACCATCACGACCGGACAAAATGAGGTGATAGCCGAGGCTATTTGAACCACCCCCCCGCCGGCACTCGGATAGTAATCTTGGGCATAGCATTTTACCAAATCACCTCATTCTTTGGGGCACACGTGAGGAACACAAATGCGAACAAGCCTGAATGGTCCCCAGGACAATATGCAACTGAAAACTCACACCCCAGAAGTGACTCGAACCCATACTCCCAGGAGCAACGCAACTGGTATGTACAAGACGCCTTAATCCACTTGACCATCACGACCGGACAAAATGAGGTGATAGCCGAGGCTATTTGAACCACCCCACCGCCGGCACTCGGATAGTAATCTTGGGCATAGCATTTTACCAAATCAC